ATATATATATATATATATATATATATATATATATATATGCTCTAATTATACAACTATACAACTTTCACACAGTCACTTCAACCAATGTGAAATATTATTTAATTAATTGGTTAAAGAACAAAAACAATTATATTTTTACTAGCAAAAAAGGAAGAATTTGTTTAACAGAATAAAATACCTCCAGAATGCTGGGAGAAACTTGCAGCTCCACTATGAATGCTTAACACATCTTTTTTTTCTTGTACAGATGGAGATTCAGAACTATCTCCTAAATTTTCATTCAAAGTCCTCAATATTGTAGTTATATCTGCTTCACTGAGAATAAGCTTTAGGGAAACAATCAGGTAATACAAAGCATTATTTTTGGTTGAAAATGTTTGAAATCATTACTTATTACTTCCACACTGGAAAAATCATAATTTCTATTTTAAAATGTATTTACACTTTCAATGCCAATAATTAATTTACAGAAATATTTCAAATATGACTTTGCAATATAAGTTGTCCTATGAATGTTTTTGTGCAGTAAAAATGATTTCTCCTTTCCTTTTGCCAAAATCCCTTATTTCTTCATTAACACAGTATCTTTGCTAATATAAACTATTATTTCCTTAACAATAGCCATTGTCTGCATTTCATTTTTCTCTGTTCTCACTGTTTACTCCTTAATTCTTAAAGTGGGTGTCTTTAGAATATGTATGGAATGTGTCTATAGGTGCACGTATCACAGATCAGGAGCATTCTAAATCCATCTTATGATTGGTTTGGACTTTAGAATAATACCTTATGCCATGGTCTGTGTATTACCTTTTATTAACTGGCTTATTTTATGCCAATCACTCTCAAATATCTGAGAGCAGCTTATATATACACAATGATATAAGGATTTAAATTTATGTGAGTTTATTTTTGTTGTTTCTATCTTTTGTACAATGTTTGAGTTTATAAAATATGTACACTATTTGGATATTATTTGGTTTTATAACCACAACCCAGGGTTCAGTTTTAAGATGGGAAGCCATATAAGTCTTTTAAATAAACAAATACATAAATAAATACAGGCCTTGGCAAAAAATAGATTTTAAGACTCAGACTAACTGCTCAAACTCAACCTGGATACAGCACAAGACTTTTTCTCAAAGATGCTTTTTCAAAAATGCTTCTTGGATGAGAAACAAAACATCTTCAAGAAAAAACAACACAAAGTCCAGTTGCCTTTTGAAAAAGCATCTTTGGGACAACCATAACCTGGATGATTGAGAATCTCCATAGACAGCATAAAACCTTATTTCTTTTTCCTCCCCTTGCCTTTATATATAATTAAGTTGCAAAATATAACTATGAACATAGGATGACATAACACAGACAAAATATTTGTATTCTATTTGATATTAATCATGTTAAAAGCTACTGCTGTGTTTTTAAAATATAATTTATGAATATCTGTGTTAAAATTGTGCATGGGATCGATTTCTGAAAACATCTAAATAATAAACTTACATTAATTGGTTTGAGACGCCCAAATATGTTAATGTCAGGAATTTCATGATACCAAAGAGCAGCTAAATTGCGTTCAACTTTAACTTCAAGATTTAATGGCTGCAGTAGTTGTAATTCATTTTGTAATAATCCACTCATAATATTTGATCTGAAAATAAAAATGGAAAATATGCAATGATGCATTAAATAAAATTAGAAACAGGAAGGCAATTTAAATTAACTATGATTCCCTGTAGAAGGAATACATACAATCCTATTAGAATGCAAAGTATTATTACAAAATTTTACCAAACCATACATTCCTTCAAAATATATAGAATTGGTTTTGTACATGTTAGAAGTTGCAAAGATTTTATATGCCTTTTATTTGAAAAGACTTTTGATTCCCTCTTTGGAAGAACAGATAAATAAATTATGAAACTTTATCTTAATATGTAGAATAACTTTGTATTTAACAAGCAAATCTAACAAAAAAATTAAGCTTATTTAGAAATAATCTTTATATTAGAATCTAATATCTAATAGGATTAAAATTAAATTTTGATTTTGAGAGTTCATATATCAACTAGCGCTATAACTTATAAAATGTTGGAATGCATCATTTACTATTTATAATTAACTTTTAGTTATTTGAACAATATTAACTATTTTTAGCCTGAAGCTCAAGAGAGATATCATATTTTTTGGAGTGTAAGATGCACCGGAGTATAAGACGCACCAAGATTTTGAAGAGGTAATTTTTTTTACAAAGTTTTTGCCCTCCCTGCCCCCCTGCAGGCCTCCCAAACCCTCTGCAAGGCCCATTTTATGTGAAAAATGGGGCATGCAGAGAGTTTGGGAGGCCTGAAAAGTGCTCCTGGGGGCCGGGGAGGGCAAAAACTCAATGTGTGGGAGCTCGATCTTCCTAAAGGGTAAGGCTTTTATCAATCTCAAATCCATTTTTCTCTACCCCTCTCACAGCAGGGCAGGACTAAACATATCTCTCCACGCTTCATTTCCCCCCTCTTCCCTCTAACCGGCGATCACGCAGAGCCACTTGGCCCAAGGAGTGGCAGTCGGCTCACTTCTTCTCTTCAGCGAGGAGGGAAAGACACGTGGGGGCTGCTGAACAGCTGCCACCATGCTCGGCCAGGAATGACCCACTGGGCAAGGAGGGGTGGGGATCCTTTCCATCCCTCACAGTGGCGTCTGAGCGGCAAAAGGGAAGCCCAAAGAAAATGACCCGACAAGGCTGCTTCCTTGAACAACCGGGTTTGTTCACAGTCATGTTGGCAACCCTGCTTACTTAGTCTCAGAGCAAAAGTAGGTTCCAGGTTCCAGGGACACTCCCGACCCAGCGCTCCCTCATTCCGAAGTTTCCTTTCCATCCCATGCTTCTTCCACTAGCCAAAGTCCTGATGATGCCAATAACTTTTTCCAGAGAGAAAGTGGAGATCTAACATCCTGAGAAAAGCCTTTGTGGAGAGATCGTTCCTCTTCCCTTCCTCCACTCCCCCATCCCCCTGGATCTGTCATGCAGTGCTTACTGCTATTGCGCCCAGCTACCACCTCTCTTTGCTACANCGGTCACATGGGCAGCAGGCCACTCCCATCCAGTCACATGGGTGGCAAGCCACTCCCACAAAGGAGGCCACACCCACAGATTAGTTTCCAACAATTTTTGAAACCCACCACTGCTGCATAGATGGTATTGATGTGAATAATATGGATTATGTCCCATAATTTAGTTTTAATGAAGTAAAACAGTTTTTCTTACACATTTATCTTTTTACTGTAAAAAAGGTACTCATAGAGAAGACCCAAAAAAAAAAAGAATAAAATCTAATTCTTCATTATCCCACAATTATCACTATAGCGGGTTTTTTTTTGTTTCCTTACTAGATTTGAATGGATAAATGTTTGCTCCACTGTCTAAATATCCACAAAGTAAGATTATGCAATTACAGTAAGCCAGTTGAAAAATTACACTGATTTAATTTCAAAGAATGTATTTTCCTTACCTGTTTGGACTGTGGACTGTACAAAACTAGAGTCAGGGAATCAAACTGAAAGTCTAGTTTTAATGTTGTTTTTACTTTAACTGAGGGATGCATTTCCACCACAGCTGAAGTCACCACTGTTGTTCCAGCTTTAAACATTAGAAACATACATATTAAGCATATATACAAAGGATATATTAAGTATCAAGAAAGTGAAGTCTACCCAGAACATTTTAAAAGAGATCTACTTTTGACTGAATAAATTGTATTAAGTACTATTGCTATGAAAAGCTTTCATCAGAAAAATGGCTTACAGTATCCAAAGTTTTAAAACTGTGTGTCTTAAAACATTCCGATATTCAGGGATAGTCTGACTGCATGCAAGGAAAACGGGAAAAAGAGTGGTAACCTCATTATCCTTTCACCACTCACGACATGTAAAGAATGACCATCTGTATAGTTGAACTTCTACTATCCATGCAGGCTCCCCAGAGGATTGAAACTGATTGAAAAATCAAGATCTGTAATCACCTGGAAACCCTCTACGGATAGAAAAGGATCTCTACAACACATAGTTTCTCTGTATATGTAGAAGGCATGACAAGGTGTTTGGTGCTAACATATCAATTACTGCTCACAGTGAATATGAGCACAGTATTTTGAATGAACTCTGAAGAGGTTTTTAATCAGGTCTCACTAAATAAATTTACTTGTGTGTGTGTGTGTGTGTGTGTGTGTGTGTGTGTGTATGAATGTGTGTGTGTGTATGTATGTATGTATATATGTGTGTGT